AAGGAGTACAAAAAAAAAAAAATGATAGTTACAATAATGCTGCCAGCTATTGAAATGGAATCTGCCTATTATTGCCAGGAATATCATTTTCATTATTTTGACACCGTTCAAGCTACATTTAAACCCTAATTCTTCTTGGGAGGCTATAAAAACAAGTGAAATGGGATATTTCATTTCACATTCAATCTGACGCAAAACTATATATTAAACTTTTGAACTAACTTTACATTTATTATTGTGTTCTTAAATTATAATTAATATATATAAACTTTTAAAATTTATGATTTAAGTAATTTAATTTTTATTTTTATAGTAATTTAATCTTTATTTTTATAATAATTAAAAAATTAAGAGCTAAATTACTTCTATCATAAAGTTTAAAAATTTATATGTGTCAATTAAAATTTAGAAATTCAATAACAGAGTTGTGACTAGTTCAAAAGTTTAATATATGATTTTACTTCAATTTAAAAACTAATTAGTAGATAGAGTAGCAACAACAATATTTAAAATATTATAATTAAATCTACGAGTTTTTTCTTCAAATTAATTAGTTTTTTTTGCACTCGACACACCTTGTTACATATAAGTTTATTGGACATATCGCACAATTAGAACCAACCAAGCCAATGTCAATTTGAGGGTTCGGTTCGCAGCAACCTTTTTAGCCTTTCGTCGACCATAATTTTTAATATTTTACTTTTTAATTTTTATATTATTATTATCTTAAAAATATATAAAATATTAATTAAAATGAATATTAAATACATATAAAATATATTTTACATATTTTTAAAATAGTAAATAATTAAAAATTTTATAATTACAATTATATGTTAATATTGTCCAATTAAGTCCTAGATTGCGCGGTAACGATCAATAAATTTGGCATATAATTTAGGCATGAACTCTGATAAGGGATGTCATGTTCAAAAAGCAAGTTCCTTCGGTAAGATTATCCCATATAACAAATAAAGAAATTCGAATGTCTATCCTTTGATATCCCTTACTGGATTGATTTATGCTCTTCCAGGGGGGACATGAGGTAGGAAGGAGAATAGGAGTTACTCGAAATAGTTATCCTTTGATCACACCTGAAAAAATATTGGTTGTTGATTTTATTATTTTATAGTTCGTTTTGGATAATTATTTAGGGTGTTTCAAAATATTAATTTATAAATTAATTTTAAACTATTATTTCATCAATTTCAAAATAATTGTAATTTGAATTTTTTTAAATTAAAGATTTAAGAGTAATAATTATATTTGTTTATAATATCCTTAAGAAAGAAGTACTCTTTATGTCATATAATAATTGTCATTTTTAAAATTTTTTCTCTAAATTAAAAATTTTAAAATTATTTATATATTTATTTATATTACCTTTTGAAAAAAATAAAAAAATAAACTAAGACTTTTTGTAATAGAATAATTAATTAAAATAAATAGGTAATGATAGGGTTAAATAGAAAAAAATATTTGTTTATCATCAAAAATGAAAAAATGACAATTAATTTAAAATAAACTCAAAGTCAAAAAATGATATTTTTTTTTAAGATAGACACAGTAAAAGAAAATGAGAGATTTTTTGTCATTGGATAATTAATTAAAATGAATAGATAATGATATAATTAAAGGAGGAAAAAATATTTATTTATCTTGAAAAATAAAAAAAAAATGATAATTAATTTAGAATAAATTAAAAAACAACAACAATTATTTAGATTAGAGAGAGTAAATAAGAAGATTTTATTTGGTTTAGTTGATAGTTGTAATTGCTACTCTATCTGTTAGATTTAGTTATTCCACTTAATTCATTTATGGTTATATTAATAAATTTATTTATTACAATAATTAAGACTTTTTTTTTATTTTTACATTTACTTCATTTGTCTCAAAATAACTATTTTTTTTTTTCAAATTAAGGATTTGAGAACAATAATTATATTTATCTATAATACTCCTAAAAAAGAAGTAAAAATTAAAGAGAGATTTTTTGTGATTGGATAATTAATTAAAAAATAAATAATGATAGGATTAAACTAGGTAAAAAAATTTGTCTATCTTGAAAAATTAAAAAATGAAAATTAATTTGAGGCAAATTTAAAGTAAGAAAATGACAATTATTTTGAGAGAGAAAAAGTATTATAATTAAGTAAAAAAATCTTACTACAGATCTATCTCTGTTGAGATAATGTAAAATTAAAATTGAAAAATTACTCATTCCGTCTCAAAACTAACTATTGTTATTTGACTTTGAGTTTTCTCAATTTAATTGTCATTTTTTCTTCTTTTTTTTTCATATTTTAGGATACACAAATTTTTTTTTTACTTAATCCTATTATTATCAATTTATTTTGGTTAATTATATTATCACAAAAAATCTTACTTTATCTTTAATTTTTTCCTATAAGTAAAATATATAAAGAAATGAATTGTCTCAAAATTCTTAATTTTAAAAAAATAAAAAAATAA